TTTTTCACTGTAGAAATTTTAAATGTCATGATTTGCCAAAGCAAGAGAGTACTGGCACCTTTTTTCCCCCACTTCAATCACTGGATTCATGTAATGTAATAATTAGTTTACTGTGATTGTGAGGTGACAAGAAACATTAACAAAGCCGTTTGCATCATGTTAGGCACAAGATTAATAATGAATGTGTACATGTTGAGAATTAATATAAATACAATTTGTAGCCGTCAGTAAATTAAAAAAGTTCATTTTTCGGAGGGGAAGAGACAGGGCAAAATGAGGAGACTGAGAGAAAAAGAAAGAGACGGAGAAGAGAGAGCAGGTATTGACAAATAATCTACTGCCACTGACATGGTTTTAAAGCTATTTCTTATCCTTTTTTGGCCTTCAAATGTCTTGAAATGCACATATCAGAGAAATAAAAAATTTGAACCCCCTGACAACCTTAAATTTAGGACCTCTTTGATTATACAGCCCTGTACGGTCCTGTATTAAGCATAAGATCAATAATAAATGTGTATATATTGTGAACGAATTTAATAAACTTAGTTAGGCTACCTAGCTTTCCTAGTAGCTTTCAGTAAATGAACGCGACTGAGAAAATGATTCATAAATCAACTTTGTGAGTTGACCCCATGTATACTTTCTTCACTGACATAAGGAGAGAAAAATAATCAGCTGCATGACATGTTTTTAAAGTTATTGTTATCCAATTTTTTGGGATATGTAGATCAGAGAAATAAAAATTCTCTCAAACCCCCCTAACTAGCCTACCTCACATCCGGGACCTCAGTAATTATAAAACCCTGCCATCTGCATGTTAATGAAACTAGTTAATAGTGAGCATTAGACACAAAACTAAAGTGTTAACTTTTTTAGTCATACCCTCATTGGGGGCTGAGCCACAGACTGATTCATGTTCCATACTGGTCACACAAATTTCAGTTCAGTTAGAACCAGATGCATATTTGTATTGATGATTCTAATTTGATTATGTTATATCCAATTGTTGATATTTGTGTTTTTAAAAAGTTTTTGATTGATGTTTTGACTCTTAACCAATTTTCTACATTAAAAAATTGTCTTTTTATTTGGGCTAGTAAAATTCATTTCGGGCTACCAAAATCTGAAGAGTGCCTGCCCCAAGGGCTACCAGCGATTTTGACATTTTGCGAGCCCTGATCATGTCAGAAATAGTGAAGTTGGATTTAGCATAAATAAAATGATTCTGTCAAGTTATAATCAAACCTTACATCCAGTGGCGTAACGAGCCAACACCGGGCCCTTATGCAGGATTATCAAGGTGGGCCCCCCTACTACAACACGTGATGACGCAATGTCCACGAGCAGGCTAACATGAATAGGACAGGATAGGATCATAGAGACACAGGCAGCATATAAGAGATGAGATGACTGAAAAATCAGGAGTAGCCTACACGCACAAAAAAACTAAACAAAACACTGCTGGTGACGGCGCACCTTGACACATTGTTACTCACTGCTATGACTACACACACATAGGCCTAGGTCCAAATACATAAAAAAGATGCTCATGCACTTACATTATAGCGGCATTTTACGGGTTTCCTCTGTGCAAAGTTGTCGAATTAAATCCTTAAGATCTAGATGGCGCGCACAGGCATTCTCAATTGACAGTATGGCAAGTCGCTTCACTCTCTTGCTCCATCTCCATCTCAATCTCGATCTCCCCCTCCTGTGTCATCTTTTTAAAGAAGCTTCCTATTTTTGGTAATTTATTAATTAATTTGTCAAATTCCTCTTTTCGTTTGCGCTTTTGAAAGCCACTTTTGTGTTTGTAATTTGCCGACTCCATATCTGTCTCAAGTTTTTTTTTACTGTTTTGCACGCAATACTCATGTTCACCCGGGGATTCCCCAGTCCCAATTCGAAACAAATTACACCAAAATCCATCATTCTTCGTTTCAAACATGTATTTAATGATCAGTAAAATATGTTGTCATTATTTATTCAAATAAATTCGCAAAAAATTAAAATGCGATCAGACTAAAAGTAGTAAAATGCGATAGGGGGCCCCGCCCCCGGCTGTCAATCAATATCTTCCAGTCACGCGGGCCCCTGATTGGTCCGGGCCCGTAAGCAAGCGCGTACCCTGCTTACCGATAGTTACGCCTGTGCTTACATCAGAGCCTGGTGAGAACTTAGAGGGAGGGGAATTCTGATGGCCACGGGCCTCAGGACATTTGTCGTCGGTGGGGGTGGCTGGACCAGATGACCCAGATCCGGGTGCGTCAGCTCGATCGTCTGACTGGGCTTCTGCTGTTCAGGTTGAGGACGAGGCCGTAAGAGGAGGATCGGGGAGGTGGATGGTCGGGTCGTCATTCTCCGTCTCCTCCTCAAAGCCCTCCCTCGACAGCATCAGCCTCATCTGGAGTGTCGGGGTCCAAGCTGACAGCCTGCAGCACTTTGTTGGTTTGGGCATAAAGGTACTCCACCCCAATGAGTTCCCCTGTAACATGATGGAAATTCTCAGGTTAAAAAACTAACAACATGAACAAACCCTCACTTTCCACACTGATATTACGATGCAGTTGATATACCTGTGTATACGCCAGGCTTTGTAAAGTCCTCAACCTGCCCTGAGCCAAGCACGCATTGGCTGAGATGGTTGAGGAAGTGCTGCAGGTGGCCACTGTAGCAGAGCAGAGGTTGCTTCTCTCCCTCCTTTGCTGCTGCGGCGCGGTTCTCTCATGCGGCGAGGTGCTCTCATGGCTAATAAGGATGCCTTTCTTCAATATGCCTGCACATTTGAGATGGTTGCAGAAGCCATCAAAGTGCGCAGGCAGAGAGAGGGCACGTTCCCTGGCTGTGAGGGTGACTGTCTGGTGGGCTTTGGGGTCCACAAGAAGAGCACCTACAAGGAGCTCTATGAGGCTAAGGACAGGGAGAGGAAAAGGTAACATGTGCTTCTGTTTGCTTGTTAATTGTATTGCTGTTTTGTATTTATTTTACTCTTATCATGTACACTATTGTGTGTCTTATGTAGCTATGTGGAGTTCATCCGGAACAAGGGCACCAGTACAGGCAGCAAGATGGATGCCTTGAAAAAATACATCTTGCTGAGGGACCAGCAGAGGAAAAAAAAAGTCATTTTCTGCATCCCAGCCTGCTGTCCTGCATCCTTCGCGTTCGGCTTCTCCTCCTCCCAGCCAAAGCTCCCATTCCCAGCCAGCCACAGCACACGGTGAGTTTTTAGATCTATAAGTGGAGTAATTCTATGGATGTTCTAATGGAATTATGAATAGCATTGCAATTTTTCTGCCCTCAGAGCCAACAGATGAAGATCTGCTGGCTTCAGCCATGGAGGTGGAGCCACAGGGTGAGTGTTTTGTTTTCTTTTGTGTGTAAAAAAAAAAAAGATACTCACCTGATCATATGTGATCACTAATACATTTACTAACATCATATAGCATTGTTATGTAACCACAAATGTCTTCAAATTATGAAATCATTTAGTACTAATTACAAAATTAAAATGATGTGTTCTTCACAGCACTTGCACCACCACCTTCAACGCCGATCCGCTCACCTCGCTTAGAGCAAAGAGCCGCTCAAAGGCTGGTGTCAGCAGCTTCTGAGGTACAGTTTTCACACCAGAAGTTTACACATATATATATATATATATATATATATATATATTATAAATTAATAATAATACATATATTCATTTTGTTTTTATTTATATATAAAATTGTGTGTGTATAGGTTGTTCTCCCTGAGACCTGGAAGCACTCCCTTCCAAAAGAACAACACGACTGGATCGGCCGCTCCCTCTTCCGGCGCCAGGGTGGAAGGGCAGCGCTGACAGATAACCTGCAGATGTGGTGGTACCCTCCCCAGCCACGCCTGCAGTATCATCAGCCTCCAGCGTCGCCGGACGTGTTCTTCACCTGGCCGCTGTGTTTGTGGATGCCCTACAGGATGTGGTCCTACAAGCTGATCTGCAGCTCGCCAGACTGCAGACGGTCTGGTCAGTGACTGACATCATGTGGGCTCTACAAGACAGCGAGGCGGGTGCTGAATTTACACGGATGGTATTTTCTGGCAACAGAATATCTGGAGTGTCAGCGCTGCCACAAGAAGCTGGTCGCGTGGTTGTTACGTGCCCACCAAATGAATTGAAAGGGAACATCATAACATATAAAGACCACAGAGATTCAGTAACCATGCATAAATTATTTATTATAAATGATTTAAATCGTGAACAATTTGTCACAAACGGAGCATGGTGGTAAAAGAAAATAACAAAACACACAGAAAGAAAACCCTGCCTACACATCTCTTCTGGAGGAATAACACTTGCCTGCCTCCCGTCCGAAAACAAAAGACAATGTTCTCCGTGAGTCTTCCGGGTCCTCTGACTGCTACCCTAACTAATCATAAACTAAATAACATGAAAACCCATCACCGATTACCACCAGCTCTAAATAAAGTTATAAAGTCATGAACAAATTATTTGTATTTCAGGTGCAATTAACTACTAACATGTTACACCTTTAACTAGGCTGTAATGGTAATAATGTAACTTAAACGACTTAAAAATTATATTTTTGTTAGTACTTTTTCAAAATTAATTACACGTAATTTGTACACAAAACAAGCATTATCTTGCTTTTGTAGTTTTTCACAAGACACTGTCTGCCAGCAAAGGTTCTATACAAAATGTGTGAACGACCCACCCCCATTGATCTTTGTTTGACCTTTCAAAGGTGTCAAACTTAGAACAATAACATTCCAACACCTTGAGACACCTCGCCTGACAGCTGAGGTTCTATTCAAGATGTGTTAACGGCCCCCCATTGAGCCTTGCTTGACCTTCTATAGATGTCAGACTTATAACAATATCAAAGTCTGTACAGTTTTTTATCTTTTTGTATGGGAAACATCACACATTTTTTATTTATAAAGAAAGAACACTTTAAAGGAACTTTAATAAACTTTGCCTTTGTCTGTGTGTTTCACAGGTTCTCTTGTGATATGCATGTGGCAAAGTTGATGAGGGAGCGCTCTCTCAGCAACAGCGTCTCTATGCTATATCACAAGCTGTGTGAACTGCATAGTGAGGAATGGATGGAGAGGTCCCTGCGATACCTCTCTGTGTGTGACCGGTTCCGGGGTACCACCACACAAGCCCATCTCACCTCCACCACCCATGCCGCCTGTACCGACCGCCAAGTGGCTCCTCTCTGTCCACGCAGAGGATATCCGGTCCCGGTATGGTGAGCTCAAAGCCAGGGTCACCTCTGTCTTTGGGTCCATCCTGAAGATGGACTCCACAAAAAAGGTAACACATTAATCAAATATTAGATATACCCAAATGTGTGTGTACAGGTGTATATAAATATATTTTTTTTGTTTATCTGTACTGAATTTTCTGTTTTTCAACAATAGGTGGCCAAAAAACTGGCGGGAGCCGCAGCTGGGACCGCAGCCTGGGTCACCAATGTGGGCAATGAGCACGGACAGGTCCTCATGTCTGTGCTCACCTCACATGAGGGTCAGGGACTGCTGCCCATGACAAATGGCCTGGTAAAAAGGTACGAGGTGGCTGGAGTCGCTCCCCCTACTCTCCTGTATGTGGACAGAGACTGCTGCTCTTCTGTGGGCACATCAAGAGGAGGTGCCATGTTCAGCGGCTGGAGTGACATGGTGGTCCGTCTTGATGTGTGGCACTTCATGTGGCGCTTCGCCGCAGGTCTGCACACTGACAGCCACCCACTCTACGGTCTGTTCATGGCGAAGCTCTCCGCCTGCATTTTTGTCTGGGACGAGGGAGATGTGGCTCTACTGAAGGAGGCAAAAATGAGGGAGCTGGAGCAACAGCAGGCCATCAGAGGCCTCACTGATGACCAGCTAACCAGCAGGCTCACCTCCAGACAGTTGGCGCTGCACTGTCGCCGCTGCACACGTGGCGTGGAGGAGACGGAGCAACTGATTGGTGCGTTGCTGGAGGCCTTCATGGACGCCAGGGAAACCATGGGCATCCCCTTGGTGGACCAGGAGAGGATGGACGTCATCTGGGACACCCAAAGACGCCACCTTCCCTGCATCCAGGACCCCCCCGGTGTGCAGCTGTACACCCAGACAGGAAGTACGACAAAGGTAGGGATAATACTTCCTGTCTACCGCTGCGCTCGGGGTTCCACTTCCCTGGAGTCCTTTCATAACCACCTCAACCGCTTCATACCCGGTAAGATTACACACAATCACCTCGAATGTTTTTTTTTTTGTGATGTGATGGTCTGTTTCATCTCTTTTGTAATTATAAATTAGTGTTAATGTTTGTTTGTTTTTTAATCAGGAACAAGCGCTAACCTGGAAAATTTCCAGGCTTATCTGCTTGAGGGTTTGGAGCGGTGGAACAAGGACCGCGCTGCGGCTGCTTCTGCTACCGTCACGGACGAGGCCCCGTCGTCCCTGCGCTGCTACAGTGCCTCGCTCCAGCACAGCCTCAGTGAGCTCAGTCAGCGTCTTCTTGGCTGTAGTCTTGTACAAGACTATTCAAAGCCAGGACAGTACACGGGTATGTGTCTATAATGCCATGCTTTGTTGTTTTCTTTGTAATGCACAGGTGTCTGTTTTAAAACCTTGTTTTCTATTTCATTTTATTTCGTCAGGTGAGCTCATCGGGGTGGAGTACCTGTGCTCGCAGCAGTCCTGGGAGTTCAAGGAGAACTTTGGGCGGGACCCAGATGCTCCGGACAGAATCCCAGACGACTTGGGGGAGGCAGAGGATGAGGGATTTGGGGATGAGGCAGTGGAGCAGGACCACACCATCTCCCCTCTTTCCTTAGTGTCCACCCAGGAAGCTGTACGCTCGTCTCGGGATTCGGCATCGCCCTCTCAGTCCTCCCAGGACCTGCCACCTGAGTCCCAGGCAGATGTATGTATGCATGCAGGCAGGCCATGTCATCATGTGGTGGACTTTTTTTTATCCATCCACTAATTTCTTCTTTTTTCTTGTTTAGGTGTGCAGAGGACCAGACGGGACACCGGGTTTTGATAGAGTGGTGGACCTGGCCAGGTACCTCGTCGAGCTGAGAGAAAAGCCTTGTGTCTCAGATAGGGAAGCCAATGGCATTGTTCGGCTGTGGGACAGACTGCCGGACAGTGACAAAAAAGGTGTTTCCTATCTGCCGAGACACAAGGACAGACTCTTACAAGGCAGGTTCAAGGCCACCCACTCCAAAACCTCAACCTGCCATGGAAAGGAGAGCCTGAAGCGGTAAGTTAAATAGTTGCATACAGAGCTTTAATAATATAAATGACTATATGCTTTATAATTCCCTATTTTATTTTACAGGTGTGTGCTGGGGCAGGGGTCGGGTCCTGCCCAGTGGCCCAATATTAGTCGAATTGTAGAGGCAGTATGTCTGGAGCTCTGCTCCATTCATCCAGCGGGGAAGGTGAAGTGGGGTGTTTCACTGAACCGCTGGGCTGCCGTTCTGCACGACTACCAGGCCATACGGAGGCTGGTGGGGAACTGCCCAGCTCTGAGGGGACGGGCAAATATTCAGCTGTTCGAGGTCAATCAGCGGACGCTTTCTGTCTGGTAAGTCAAAAGCCAGCTATGAAAGGGATTTTACTGTTCTTATATTCTGTTCATCCGTATTAATTGTGCCATTTTTAACAGGTACAACAACTACAGGAAGAAGCTGGAAGCAGACGTGCTGGCTCTGAGTGTGCCCTTGCCTCAGATCCGCATGGTGTCTCACATGCTTCTTCCTGTAGCCAAGCAGAAGGTGTCAGTGCCCTCGGCAGCTCAATCAGCACTTCCACTTTTCCCCTTTGTTGTAAACCCTGACCTGTCAGGTCAGGCCGTACGGCGAGGGCAGCACCATCCTCCCCCCGCATCAGCAACCGCACTCTCCGCTCCACCGTCAGCATCCCTTTCTGCTCCACCGTCAGCATCCCTTTCTGCTCCACCGTCAGCATCCCTTTCTGCTCCACCGTCAGCATCCCTTTCTGTTCCACCGTCAGCATCCCTCTCTACACCTTTGAGTAGAACAACTTTGTGGAGGAAGAGGAAGGCTGAGGAGTTTTTAGCCCAGAAACAAGGGCTGCCCCCTCCACAGCAATATGTTCGAAAACAGTACACATGCAGTCGATGTGGGCAGCTCAGAAAAAAAGAGTTTGGGCACACCAGGGTGGGCAGCTTCTTCTTCTGTGCCACAGCAGAGGGAAAGACTGTGGAAGAGTGGCTGCAGGAGAAGAAAATTAAGAAAATCCTTAATTGTAAATAACTGATTATTTGTAAATATCTTTTGTTTTAAATAACTTTATTTGTAAATATCCTTTGTTGTAAATAATACAAATATCCTTCATTGTAAATAACAATTTATTTGTAAATATCCTTCGTTGTAAATTACAATTTATTTGTAAATATCCTTCGTTGTAAATAACAATTTATTTGTAAATATCCTTCATCGTAAATAACAATTTATTTGTAAATATCCTTCATTGTAAATAACACAAATATCCTTCGTTGTAAATAACAGTAAAAAAAACCGCGTCGATTTATCACTAGGTGGCGCTATAACATTAAAAAAACATAAAAGGGGGTGTGGCCACCTGACCGTTAGTCCGATTGACTTGAAATTTGGTATGCAGTGACTTGGACCAAGGTGCCATGTATGTGTAAAAGGATATTGGCGTATCTCAAAAAACATGGCCGCCATCGGCCAATGAAGTTTAAGCACCTATGAGACGAGGTTAACGGAGGCCAATCGGAACGAAACTCGATGGGCATGTTCGACTCATGGCCCAAGAGGTCTGTAAGAGTTTTGAAAGAAATCGGCCACTAGTTGGCGCTAACGAGTTTTACGGCTCTGTAATCACGTGGTGTTGCACACATCCCCACAATATGCATATCATTTGATAGATCTCCTCATGCTGAACAACTTTGCCTCTAGAACCATTGCTGACAATCAAACCGTTCATTAAATATTAACGAGTATGTTAAAAACCTACTTTTGCGAACTTGTCCCTGGTTTTTCGCCCGATCGGAACCAGACCAGTCTAGGACAACTCTCTGGACTCTCTAGATCAATAATTATCGAAAAAAAGTTTAACTTTTTTATTTTTCGCATGGTATTAAATGGTTAATTAGAAAAGGGGCGTGTCAAAACACACTCAAAAGCCTATAAATCATGAATAAAAACTCAGAACTTCACAAAAATTGGTGAGCATATGTGACATAACATCATGAACAAGCATGCAAAGTTTTATGGAGATCGCACCATAGGTGGCGCTATAACTGTTGAAAAGCTTTAAAACCATGTATTTCCTATGGTAAATTGCCTGTATTGGCTGTAAATGGTGTTTTCCATCTATTATCATATAATCTTTATATTATAATGTTCAAAATCAGTGCAGTACAATTCTCTGGACTCTCTAGATCAATAATTATCGAAAAAAAGTTGAACTTTGCCATTTGGTTCATTATAACAGGATCATTAACAAAAAAGGGCGTGTCAAAACACACTCAAAAGCCTATAAATCATAAATAAAAACTCAGAACTTCACAAAAATTGGTGAGCATTTGACATAACATCATGAACATGCATGCAAAGTTTTATGGAGATCGGACAATAGGTGGCACTATAACTGTTGAAAAGCTTTAAAACCATGTATTTCCTATGGTAAATTGCCTGTATTGGCTGTAAATGGTGTGTTCCATCTATGATCATATAATATTTATATCAAAATGTTCAAAATCAGTGCAGTACAATTCTCTGGACTCTCTAGATAAATAATTATCAGAAAAGTTATAACTTCTTCATTTGGATGGCTATAATAGGGTCACTTCAATATGTAGCCTTGACCAAGAAAGCCTATATCTCTTCAATGAATGCTCAGATCTTCTTAAAAACAAGTCAGAACATGTGACTCTAAATAAGATAAGAAATAATGCATCTATAACAGTTAAAAAGGTGAAAATTATAACATAATGGCATATTAAGCCAATAATTGGTATTCTACTGCCCCCTGCTGTCATTTTGTCATGCTACTAACTAATAATATTCTATAATTCTTATTTAGACTTTATAAAATCACTATTTTAACATTTACACTCACATTTTGTCAAAATGCATCTATTGAAGTATTACTATTGACCATTGTGTCACGGACAAATGTTAATCCTGAATGAGACAGTTCAAATCACTTTATCTACAACAGAATGTGTGTGTGTAGTCCCATGTTTCTGAATAAATCCTGAATAATCTGATTAATAGCTTGCAAAGACATATTTTAATGGTCTATAAGCATTTCATATATTTTCATAATGACTTGTGTGTGTGTGTGTGCTAGATTCATGGTAAATCATACCAGAGCGTGGTAAATCATGGTAAACGATGGTAAATTATGCTACAACAGGGTAAATCATGTAAAGCATACTAGAACATTGTGAATCATGCTAGATTCATGGTAAATCATACTAGAACATGGTTAATCATGGTAAAACTATGGTAAATCATGCTAGTATCATGGTAAATCATGGTAAACGGTTTTCCATCTATTATGTCAGTGGTTACATGCTTGCTAAATGTCTTTAATGCTTATGTGCTAAAAGGGCTTAACTGCTTGAACACCGCTAAATGCTGCTTGAACACCATTAAATGCTGCTTTAATTATATTTGTATTTGGCATTTTGTTTGCATTTATCTATTTTTTTTATCCTTTATCTATTTAATAAATCTTTTATTACCTTTTTTAACTTTTTTGTACTCTTTCTACTGTTAATTTGTTTTGTTTTAATATCTGCATTTTGATTAAATTTATATATTTTATTTTTTATAGTTCTAGTGTGTTTGTCATTGTAGAGATGGTTTTTGCAAATTTAAAAAGGACGGCCTCGCAGCAGCTTCTCCTGCGGGCCTCCGCTGCTGCGAGTGCCAAAAAGCCGGAGGAGGTGGAGAAGGAGGCCCAAGCCCAAGTCGTCTCCAAGGGCGGGGACCCTGCCACAGCATCCAGTTTGGTAAGTACTAGAGATGCACCGATTACAATTTTCTAGGCCGATCCCGATTCCGATTTTTCCTTGAGTTTGACCTGCCGATACCGATTTTAGCCGATTCCGATTTCATTTTTTCAAACCACTTTACAGCACACACAAATATTTATTTTCTATCTTCTCTTTAATAGAACATTTTGCATAGAAATTTTTTTGGAACAGATAATCGCTATAAAATAGAACCATATAAATTACTCCTGGTGTGGGAAATTCACACACATCTAAAGAGCAGTGTTATGGAAGAACCATTTCCTTTTCACATCCAATATCCAACTAAAACAATTTGATATTTAGCAAACTAAACTTCTGTATGAACACAGGTAATGACAATAAAATTATATATAAATAACAAATAAAAATGAAATAAATATTGCCTTGCAGTATAAAGATATTTCTCTCTTTCTTTCTCTCTCTCACACACACACACACACACACCTATTACAATCTTGTACATCAATGGCAAGTTATATTTCTCAAACAGTTCTTCTCTCATCTGACACATGTCCAGCCAAGCTAAACAGGACAAGTGGGGCATGTGCAGGGAAACGATAGGGAAATAATAAAAACAAGTTTATATGGGTAAATTTTCTATAAATATTTTTCTCTCTTCATTTTCTTTCTGACATAGCCTAGCCTACTTCAGTTCTTGTTAAAACACACCAGACATGCAAATTCTGTGCATTTTGGGCACTTTTTGGATGAAATCATATTTATTTTACAATAAATTAAACATATTAACTTGTACAAAAATGGCATTATATGACCCCTTAAACCCTAGCCCTTGAGTTATCCTAACCATTACGTTAACCCTTAGCCCTAATTAGGTGAATAATAACCATGGCACTTAAAAACAAATGACACTTAACAGCCATGTCTTCGGTGGTGGCCGACAGACACTTATCCTTTCTTGCCCGTTTTTTTTTTTTTTTTAAGCTTTGATTTTACCACTTGATTTCATAGCTTTCTTCTTTGCTGGACCTGATAATTGTTTTGGTATAATCATATCAATATCAAAAAGTAGAATAAAAACGAAGCATTAAAAAGTTTATTTTAAAAGTTTATTTAAAGGTGCTCTATGTAACTTTTCTACTAAAATGAATCCTTTTTTTATTGCCTGTGTGTGAAGGGGTTGTAATCACACATTAAAATGATCCACTTGTCGAGTTTTGCTATTACCTCTGAAGGCCAGTATTCCTATTTCTATGTGAAGTCTCCGGGTCGGATTTACCGCGAAATCCAACGGATGTGACATGCATGCGCGCTCCCGAGCCTCTCTCCTTATATACAGTCTATTGTAGACGGTCAGGGAGTTACGTCCGGTTAAAGGCGCACGTTTTTCGGCTTATATCTCAGTCAATCTTTGATCAATATTCCCAAGACTCTAATCGTTCGTAGTGCTGGACGGGGCCTTTCGAACGAGCCCACCCCCGAGGTCCAACTCGCCCGGCTCCCCGAGTTATAGCCGTTCGAAATCGGGGGTCCCAGCGAACGGCGATCCGGTAGGGGGCATCCCCGAGGCCCGCCACTCTAGCGTTGGGGCAAGGGTTCCCCTGGGACCTCCTCCCCCGAATTTGAGCTCTCTGGGTCTTTGCGTTCCAGAGATACGAGCGATTTTCTTCTGAGATCGTGACGTCACCGGCGTCCGGAATTTTGCAGCGCGCCCGATGGTTTTCTGCTAATATCTCCGCGAAAACACCACCAAAAACTATGGAACTTATATGGTTCTTTTCAGCTCGACTAGATGGTCCCAACGAGCTCAGTGCTCGCCGAATCCGTCTAGTATTCTCCGAGATATTTGCGTAATAGACGCAGGGCTCCAGACTAACTTTTTTTACTAGGAGCGCTGTTGCCCCTGACTGAATTTTAGGAGCACAAGCAGAAAATTTAGGGGCACACCTTAAATCAGCTTGCAATGCAATTATTCAAATTTCCCCCAAAATAACTGTAATACTGACAAATTCTTTAATAATAAAGAGACTTAACGTACAGATATTACGATATGCAGTTTTATTTTAAGTTCACAGGGCTCCAGACTCAAATTTGAGGGCAGCATAACCTCAAATGAGAACTCACACTGAGTTCTACAAAAAGAAAAATTCTGGTAGCACTGGGGCTGACAATAAATCACTAAGCTTAATTTAGGGTGTAGATGAAATTAACTTTTGTTATTATTATCATTCATAATGTCTTAATATTAATTAAAAAACAAAAGGAGTGAAAAAATGTATATTAAGGAGTGAACATAGCCAA